TCAGCAGGCTGCCACGGCCATTACAGAAGATTGGCTTACTAGCTGCCTGCTGAAAAACCTGAATCAGGAAAAGTGTAGCATACGTGGTCCCTGGGAGCTTCTCAATAATGTCTTCAGGCAAGAAACTTCTGGAAAAGCAAGACCAACGCCCAGGAGGCTGTGTACATGAAAGTCACATCCTGCAGTGGACTTTGCTGTGCATTGTGTTATTGTGGCAGTAAAAGAGCATTTGTGTTACAGCTAAAGAAATAGTTCAACCAAAAATAAATGCTATCCAAGATGTAGATGAGTTTGTTTCTTCATCAGAACAGATTTGGAGACATTTACATAACTTGCTCACCAGTGGATCCTCTGCAGTGAATGGGTGCCGTTAGAATGAGAGCTCAAACAGCTGATAAAAGCATCACAATAATCCACAAGTAATCCACATGACTCCAGTCCATCCATTAACATTTTGTGAAGCTTCACCAAAACTTCAAACCATTGTTTCCAGCTAAAATACGAGTCCTCTATCCATAAATTTGCTTTCTCCAGTGAAAAAAGTTGTCTCGTCTGAATCAAGAGAGAAATATGCACAGATCAAGCACAGTTTACAACACAGTCCAAAAGAGTTCTAAACAAATATTGTGATGTTTTTATAAGCTTGGACTCTCATTCTGATGGCCGAATTTCCAGTGTGCCATGTGAATGGAGTAAATTTATATCTATCCCATCTGCATATCAGATAGGAACTTTTCTTCATTCTTCTCCTCTCCTCTCAGCTCCTATTGAATTTAGTATTGTTTTTTTTTGTTTATTGTTGTTGTTTTTTTTATTACCCAGACATATTTATATGAATGTGTTAAAATTGTTTGTTTGCCCGTCCGTGACAAATTGTTTATGCTGAAATCATTAAATTAAATGCTTTTATTGTTTTTTAATTTCCTCTGAATTCCTTGCCATGTCACAATTTTTCCTCTCTCAGCACTATGCTCACTGTCAGCATATTGCAGTAGCTTTGATTTATGTTGTTCTTTTTTTCACCATTGTTCTCTACAGAGGAATGCAGTGATATTAATGTTATCACATTACAGACTTAAAAACTCACAGATATTAATGTGGAAGAACATTACATTTTGTGTAGTACGTTTGTCTAGTAGTCATTTTGTTCAGTGAGTTTTGAGTGATTCAAAGAAAAAGTATCCACAGTAATTGCATTTATACTCTCATTCTCAGGTGTTTCATTAATTGAGTCTCAGTTCTTGTTTTTTAGTTAAAGTCTACAGTGACTGCACATCAACAGACACCCCCCCCCAAAACAAAAACAAACAAAAAACTAAACATAAATAAATAAATACGCTAGCAAACATTCCGTCAGAATGCACAGTAGCTTTTGAATGACTGTCAATGGAGAAAGATGCTTTGTGTGCCAGGTGGTTTCACAGCACCTACAAATAGGGAATAAATGGACCATACTAACTAGTTAAACTTTGACCCCTTACCCACAGTGAATGGTAGTGGGTGGCAGTGTGACCGCACTTTTAATCCCACATCTTTGACCTCTTCTGACAGCCCTCAATTAATGGGAAATTGCATTCAAGAGCATGCATACATTTTATATTAAATTTGCATAACAAGCTTGAGGATCAGTAGAGTATATACTACTATTCAAAAGTTTGGGGCCATTTTTTTAATATACTTTTAAAATACTTGAATTTAGCAAGGATGCATAATATTCAAAAGTGACAGTAATATTACAAAATATTTCTATTTCAAATAAATGCTGTTCTTTTTAGCTTTCTATTCTTCAAAGAATCCTGGAAAAATGTATCATGGTTTCCACAAAAAGTATTAGGCAGCAACATTGATAATAATACAATATGTTTCTTGTGCACCAAATCTGAAAATATATATTTTTTGTTCCAAGGAATAAATTACATTCACATACTCTGCATTCAAAAGTTTCATTATAATGAAAAAGCCTTTTTATATTTTAATTTGTTCATTTAATAAAATTTCATGAACTAATTTCTTTATAAGAAAAAGAGTTCTCCTCTGCGTTGATGGATGACTTGATATGGTGCACAGCTAATTGTGGCGTATTGAGCAGACATTCTTACCTTTTTTTTTTTTAAGAGATTATTCCTGGACATTAATGTAAATATTACAGGAATTTGTATTGCACTGAACTAAATTGCTGGTAATTGCGGCAACATGATGAGTAATACAGATCTAAATCAAGGTTTAATCAACTAGAATAATGTTTTTCCTCTGATAAGACTGCAAGTGTTTAAAGCAGTGTTAGGCTTCAAAGGCAACTCACTCAAGCAAAAAAATGTGTTTGATCAAGGCACCGTGATCTCCCCTTTACGGCAACAACCCGTGGACCAGCACAACGACACACACTCATGCATACTCGCGCATACCAGCGTCCAACTTCCTCTACTAACTTTAGAGTCCCATGTGTATGTATCCTCACCAGCACAGCACACTCTTATACTTCCCGCTATCAGATGGCTGCGTTCACTCGGGTTCATTTGCCAGCTGTTCTTATCTTACTGAGATGGAATGACTGGAAAATGGGGAAAGATTTATTTCCCCTGACATCTTTAATTCTGATTTGCTTTTAAAATCCATGACAAGTGGATGTCGTTTTTTCCATTCCATTCTCTCTTCCCTCTGATGGCTAGGTTCTTTACATATACATATATACACACACACACATATATATATCCACTGGAAATTCACCACATTCAGAACAAAATAACAACACTATACAGTGTGGTAAATAAGTACAACACTATTCTGACACAACACTGTGGTAAAATGGAAAATAAGACAGCTCTGCATTTCTATCTTAAAACTTGAGCAGATTCATAAAAAAGTGTAATTTTTTATGTTCATGAATTATTGTACTTTTTTAACTTTTTGATTATTTGATTTATACACAAATATACACACTGTAGCTCTGGATATTATCCAGACTGGTCCCCTGTGGCTATCTATGTTTTTGTCTAGTGGCTTTGCTGCCAATCAGCTGGATCAATCAATCTCTTCTGTCTGCTGGAGTTCAGAACGTATCGTCTCCTGCAATGAAACTGAAAGATCAGCTGCACTCATCACACATCTCAGACCTAGGAAAAATGATAAAAAGCCTATATATATAAATATATATATATATATACACACACACACACA